ATTTTTTTATGCTTTGCATTATATTATATTGTCTACATTATATTATAGGAAAAAACATATTTTTTAAAACTTATTTTTATTCAATTGGGTAATTTAATGCAGGCAAATGAGTAATCAGATAAAAATTTCCGGTATATCCAGATGTAAAATTGTTACCGAGATCCCCAGTTTCAAGTTGCGAAGATACCCTTTTCATTATCCTGGTTATAAAAACTATTCTTTAGAATTCGAATTTGTATAACCATAATAAATCATTAAAAAAGAAAAAAACTGTTCAAATAAATACTTCTTTTATGTATGTATTTGCATTTGTGTTCCTTTATAGTTCTTTCCTTAAGTATCCTATAATAATATCCATAGATATATCATGTAATTTCTAAAATATAATCCTTAATATTCATTAACTTTTTGTAAGTAGAATATATTTTCCTCGCACTTCATCAGTATTTTTAAATTTGCGCCTATACAAACTCTACGCGTGACGTTATGCGCGTGGCCGTCCTATTTTTGACACTTTTGATATCCTACCTTTTATTTTTTATACCATGAATAAATGGGAACTAAATTTTTAAATTTTATTTAGAGAGCTAAAAATAGTATACAGGGTGATTGATTAGTGTGAGGAAGCTCTGTAGATCTGTTATAATAAAAGTAGGCAGCTTTAAGCTTCACATTTTAAAATTAGTTACGATGTGACAGGGTGTTTCATAAGGCCGTGCCAAATCAAAGTTATGTTTTTTAAATGGAACACCCTGTATATTTTTATATTTTTAGAATCTGCTCGATAATCTGATTTCAATGATATATCACACTTGTTATCTAATATGAATAGTAAAGGATCTACAGCTACTCAAAAATCACATTTTTTCAAATTCAGGTGGCTGTTGTAGCCAAACAGTTGGAAATCGAGGAAAACGGCTTACAGTCCCTATCCTAACTTTTTAAGGTCTATTCAGTGACATAAAATACATATTATTTGATACAGGGTGATCAAAAATCCAAAATCACATCCGATTTTTGATCACCCTGTATCAACTAATATTTTTTGCCACTGAATAGACCTTCAAAAGTAAGGATAGGGACATGTAAGCCGTGTTCCTCGATTTCCAACTTTTTGGCTACAACAGCCAAAATTGAAAATTAACCTAAACTGCACGAATATCTTTGGATGATGTTTTCTCGGAAACGGCTGCTCCAATCGAGATCAAACAAGTATTCCTTTTTGACGTAGTTTTCAATGTAGAATGTAAAAAAAAAAATATGGATAAGTCATTACCAAAAACACAAAAAAGTTATGAATAATCAAAATTTTCAAAAAATTCCCAAGTACACCCCTGACGAAATAATTTCTTTTTGAAGGTGTCAAAAGGTCACTATTATTGATCATATTTAACAGCCAAAATTTGGTTCTTTTATTTGTTTCCATTTTTAAGAAAATTCAAAAAATCAAAATAAAAAAAATGATTTCGAGAGGCTGTTGCTCGCTTAGGGGGCACTTTAGGACATAGGTCTATAGGAACTTTTTTTCCATTTTTTGGTTAAGGAATCTGCCTGAGAATTTTGGGACACATTTTAAAGGACACCCTGTATTTTAACAAAAGTCTGGAAAAATCTTATATATTCCTAACACTTTGTGCACTTGAAATCCGACTTTCATTTCACCTCAACCTTTGATTAACCAGTGTGTACACACCTACAACCTGCTTGAATGATGTTTTATAATTGTTTATTTTTTTTATTGAATTGTACCAGAGCAATTGTAGAAGCCTGGCGTCAAAAACGACGATTTGCCAAATATATGACCTTATTAAAAACTTGATTAGTAAGTTAATAGGGAGATATTGCAAGTCACTATTAGTACCGCTCTTATTTTGACATCTGAGCATACTCAGATCGTTTATGTTCTAGGACTGACATTATTGAAGATTGTGCCTGTCCTTAATTGTGGAAATTTGCAATATCTCTCTATTGTCATAGAAATAATATTAACTATATCTTTGGTTGTTACAGTATTTTAAAATTTAGGTTAATATTGATATTTTGGCAGACATCTTTCAAGAAATAAAATGTCAAGGCGCAGGCGGTCGCCCCCACTTTGCCTACAACAACCTGATTACAAGCAAATGTAAGCGTAATTGTCACTTTTCTTCAAAAATGTCTAGTTGCATTAAGTTATTTTTAGTTGACGCCTCTAGGGGGATAGTTTCAGACAGATATTTTTAAATAATGAAAGAACCCATATTTTGACTTAGAAATTCCAACCGTTTTCAAGGAAATTACAAATAATGATTTCGATACAAACATTTATTTTGCTCATAGTCTGATATCAATGGGTTACAATAATATAGATTTCTTGTCAGTTATAAATTTTTAACTGGTAAAGATTATCATCAACAAATGCTACCTATCATAATCATATTTGTTATATCGTTGTATTTTGATCTGTTCTACTACTGCTCCTTGTACAATCTATTATTGGATCCGAATAGCAAATGGAGTTGTGAGTTGTAAAATTTTTGTGGAGGGCGTTTACATATCACCTTATATGATAATACACGGGAGAAAAAACTCGACAATATATTCATTACTATAAGTATTGTAATATTATACAATTAGTCCAGTCCTGATTTTACACAGTGTAACTAAAAGGAGGGAAGGCATTAGGTAATCGTGGTCCCGTCACATCGCGGACTGTGCTAGTCTCGACAGCGCGCAGTGAAGCTCTTTCTGATCTTTCCCATATCTTATAACACATGCATTTCCATTTGGTGTTCTCGAGCTGTGCTCGGTTGAATCGCGTTCTCTTGCTATCTCTTCTAAAGAATTTCGGGAGACCTCGATACCATCAAGATCAGCACAGTCGGGATGAGACGGGACCGCAACTGCATAATGCTTTCCCTCCTTTAGTCGGCACCATAGGGGAAGTGTTTTTTATCATTATAGTCTTATGTAAAAAAAATATTCTTCATAAAAAGTTCTACATGGTCAAAAACTCAAAATAGAATATCAATTTTTTTTCAGTCATGTACGAAATTTGTCGAAAAATATGAATTTTGTGCAAAAAAAATACCTTCATTTTTAAAAATATCGAAAATTATTATTAAGAAAAGTTGATCGGAGTTGAAAACTATATATCCAATATTACCCATCTACGATCTAATATTATCCATCTAACGATACTGGCATAAATACGAAAGAAATTAAATTTTTTAAATTGTAAAACTGCTTTTTTGTGGATACTATTGGATATATGACCGTAGTTTTTAATTTTGATCAACTTTTCTTAATATCAATTTTCGATATTTTTAAAAATAAAGTTACGTTACTCTAGCATAAAAGTCACAATTTTCGACAAACCTTGTACATGACAACAAATTTGATATCTGATGGATGTATTTTAGTTTCTAGATCGTGCAGAACTTTTTATGAAGAATAACTTTTTTTCATAAAACTAATAATAAAATAAATCCATATGGTGCCGACTTAAGTAGATATGTATTTACCTACTTCATCACCATCACTCTTATCTCACCTTGTGATCCTTAGTACTAAGTAGATTTCAAAAATGTGATTACAAAATAATTCTAGTTTTTTAGTAATAGTTTTTATACTTCATTATCTAATTATTT